GATTCTGAGAATTATTTATTATTTATTATTTATTATTATTTATTATTATTATTATTATTAATTACATTTAATTATTTTTAGTAAGTGATTATATTACCTGGATGCATCTATTCCACATTTTCAGATCCTCTTTTTCCGTGCAAATAATGTGGACGCTCACGCCGACTCTTAAGTGGAGCACAGATTTTTATATAACATATAAAACATGAAACATAAGAAATTGAACCAATCATAGTTCTTTATTTATTTCATGAAAAGGAAGGAAATGAAGGTTTTCGATTGATACATTTCCTTGTGCATTACATGTTATGCAAGGATCTGTAATCACATAATGCTATAAGCATAAATCAGACTTCGGCCATATAAGGTATTTCATTTCTAAGAATGCATAGTCATCTTCAACATGTAGCTGCTCTTTAATTAATCAAAAATTTTTCCTAAATTTAGAACAAGCATTTCATTGGTTGTTCTAATTTAGGACAAATATTTGATTGATTATCCTAATTTAGTTTGTCGGCCATTATGCGCAATAAAATGTCTTGTATTTATATCATGGTTATCTTATATAAGATCTGTTTTTTATTGCTGCACTTTAATCCGGTGCAATAAGTTGAAGTGAAACAAATGTATATTAGGTTTGTCGCGTCGCATGCTCTAACCCTGCTCTAGAGTGTTCCTATCATTAGCATTTACTCTAACGTGCCGGTTGAAGTAAGTAGGAGCTATAGCAGGAGCACATTAGAGCATGCTGAAGCATACGACGTGAATAAATCTTTTGTTTCGTTTCAACTCATTGCACTGTGTGTACTAATTCAGAAAGTGCAGCAATAAAAAACATGCCCGTATTCATAGTCAGACCTTTTTATTTAAGGCTTCCTTAAATTTATCTTTAGATGTTCAGCACCCAATGAAATAATTCGCAGAGTATCTAAAGATAAATTTAAGTAAGTCTTTAGGAAGAGTATCTAAAGATAAATTTAAGGAAGCACAAGGTCTGACTACGAATACAGGCATTATTCTCTGTTCTCTCCCATGTTCCTTTTATTGTGCAGAGCCCCTAATTCCATCATAGTACAGATGACCGAATGCAGCGTTGATTATTCATGAATGGTTCTATTGACAAAATATGGAATTATCTTAAAATGACTCATTGAGTTTACTTGAGACGTCGACCAGATGTTAAATATGATCTTGAGTAAATCTTGAGTCATACTTGAATTTCTAACCTCTATAAATTCTTCCACAAGTGTAGTTAACGAGAATGATGAATGATCGTAGCTGAGAATGTGACAATAGAAGTGACAACTGGCAGGTCGATGAAAAGACGAAGCAATTAACGCACAGACAATTAACGCATATTCTTTCAAAGAGAAAATCTAGCTTATATTCCGGATTCGAGTTCCCCGGAATAAATCAAAGGCATCCAAATATTCTCGAAACTAAAAGACTTTGCATGTCAATGTCACGTGCGAGGCGGGACGGAGAGAGGTTTTTTTTACAAGGTACATGCTCACATATAATTTTCCCCGTGAGAACAAGTTCAATTAGACGCGACTTGCTCGTTTTTCTCTCGACACAGTTCACATCGAGATCATGTTTGGGAAACATGAATTTTTGATCTTTTGTACCTTCATCTGTTTGGTTGAGGGTCCAGTTGTGAATGTTGTGATTCCGATTTTAAATTAATTATTTGGTATTTCATTTATGTATTATTTATTATCACTAACGTTCGTCGATTTTGCTAACATTATGTAAGGAAGAAAGCGATAAGTGTATATTCTTTTAACCTTTATAATACAAGGTATAATTTGGTGCCTCATCTGTCCAAACATAGATCACTAGAATCCATTAGTTTTTTCATCTATTCAGAATGGTTAAAAAAATCTCTAAAAATTCACCAACATACCTTCAATTTTTTAGAATAAATATTGAAACTTTATTTTGGAAAATAATAAAATGTAGTATAATTTATAATTATCGAAAGAAAAAAATTGCACAAACAGGAATCGGTCAGTGACCAACTTTGTAAAGTCTGTTCTACAATATGCTTTTTGTTCCCTGCTTCTTGCTTTTTGCTATTATTTATATCTTGTTTTTTTATCCATTTTATCCATTTTTGTTTTATATCGCCTGAGATAAAAGTTAACGAACTTCGAAAGAAACAAGAAATATGTAGCAAGAAATACAATTGTCGAAAATGGTTGTAAAGGAGAAAAAAACAAAAACGGGAAACAAAGCACATTGTAAAATAGACTAATTCTACATGTGCTCTTTGTTTCCTGTTTCTTGCTATTTGTCTCTGTTTGTTTTTTGCCTTTTTGGTCAATAAGAGACAAATAGCAACAAACCGAAAACAAAAAGCACATTGTAGAATTAGCCTTAATTATACTGTTTTCTGTTTCTGCACTAGACTATTCTCTCTTTCTCGCTTTAAACAAATATCAAACGCTTATCTCACTTTAAGTTCCAAAAGTGTACACTAATTCACAAAAAACAAACCTTATATTTCTTGAATGTCTTTAACATGAATTCAAATTCTTCAGAGAGAAAACAAATAGATTAAATGTAGAAGGTATGATTAACGGCAAATTGGAAGCACTAGTGGATACTAAACCTAAGCTCATTGGTGCATACTATTATCTGTTTTATACTGATTTAATTTTATTGAATATAAAAATAAAATGCAAATATTTCGAATTATGAAATACATATTTCATATAGTATAATATAATAGAACAATAAAATATATTGAGTATTTCATAATTTAATTTAATTTTTTAATGCTTATTTATAAATGTATGTTATTATGTTTATTTATAAATGTCTTGTTATGTTTATTTATATAAATATAAGTCTTATCATATTTAATTTTGGAAAATTTTTTTTGTTAGGTCTTTAGCTACAATTTATCATCAAACTCAACAGGTTCGTGCATGTCATGCGCTTCCGGGGAAGATATTTGGTATGTACGATCTATAGAATTTCTACACTAAGGGAATTATAACCTGTGGTGATAGCTGTGAGAGTTGAAATAAAATGAACTTTTAAATTTTTCCCTGATTTTGTCATCAAATTTAATTTGATCGATATTTTTTTTGTGCATACTTTTATTCTGTTAAAGGATTTGATGATCTATAAAGCTAATTCAGAGAAATTGGCAATCTGCAATTGTTGGTAATTTGTATTGGTTTAGGATCTCCTTAAAATCTTTTATAGTACTTATCCGTTCTGTATACACATACAAATTGCAGGTTTTTAAATACGATTAATCACATAAGTATGTTAAATATTTAAAGCAGTATCTCCGAGAAATATCAATACCTTTTTTCCTCTGAAATTTTATAATTGAACTTTGAAACAATTAAGGATTTGATTAAAAATGTGCGATCTCTGGATCGATTTGTTAAAAAAGAAGCGATGTTTTGCGAAGAGATTGGTTTAAAATAGTCCCTTTTAATTAAAAAAATCAATTTTTTGCAAAATAGATCAGTTTAAAATCGCCATTTTGTCATTTAGAAAGATCGATCTTTTAAAAATTGAAACATTCCTAGATTTGACTACATATATTCCATAAAAAATGCATATATATTGAATCAGATATTAGAAAAGAATATAAACTAGCTATTAGATATTAAGTTTTACTGTCGCATTATGACACAAATTTAATTCTGTAATGAATAATAAGAATACATAAATGCCATTTAAAGTCTGTTATATTTATAATGTAAGATTGTGATTAAATCTATATTTGATCTAAAACAATCTTTCTATATATAGTTTTTGAATTCCATGGACGTCCTAATAGATCATTTTCAAATATTCTTTGGTATTATATTTTTGATTTTGAAATATTCCGAATGAAATTTTATTTTGATTTCTTAACACATAGCTCTCCCTAAATGAAATACAGTAGAATTCCATTTATATGAATATGTCGAGAGACAAGACAGTTCCGATAACCGAATAGTTTGAATATAATAGCGAATATAATAGAACTCAATAGATTTCTAATATTTGTTCTGATAATAGGAGCTAATGTTCAAAAAATGAAGACAAACATGTCGAGATCTTATTATCTGAACTAAGATCAATTGTACTAGAATTTGTATGTTTGAGCACAAAATTTATTTTTATAAAAGTTCTTATAAATAGAATTCTACTGTAGCGTTTTATTTTTTCTTTAAGCACAATAATTTGAAAATTGTTTATATAGAAACCTTTGCACCGTTTTTCTTTCAGTTACAAATTTTTTTTTATTACAGTGCAAATAGAATGCCTCAAACGACCACTATCGAAACTCTTACTGTAACCAGACCACTTAAGGTAAGTTTAAAGCGTATTTTCTTTTTACTGCAGGCAGAAATTAATCATATATTCCTATACTAATCTATATATTTCTAAGATTTTGAAGCTAAAATTTATATTAAATGTAAAATTTGATTGGTTTTTCTATAAATTATCGTATTGTATCTTACAGGATAGAATAGTTGTATATTTAAATTAAAAGCTTGATTTTAAAGTGTAATTAAAAAGGATCAAATTTTTATGGAAGGATAGTGTAAAGAAGCAATTATAAAATGATGATGCAGTGCAATTATTCATGACAATAGAATGACAGATTTATTTCTACAAAAACTTTTGTAACTCCAATTTCAACTCACACTAGAGTGTCTCAATAAAAAAAAAGAGTTGCCCTGTAATTATAGAGAATTTAACACATACAATTTAACACATACAATTTAATCCTTTTCATTAAATAAATTGTGTCTATACCATCTGTATCTCTGTATTTTATTCAATTTTTATTTTATACAATTATTAAATATACAATAAAAATATAGAATTTTTATATATTTTGCAAAAATAGATAATATGTATTTTCCAGTAAGAGATACAGTGTAACACAGTGATTACATTGTTATTGTTTGCCAATTTAAACAAAGATGTATGAATAATATCTGTATTAATAAATTACTTGTACTTTGATAAGATATGAATAATTGCATGTAAGGAGTTATAGATATAACTCGAAGGACATGAAAGGGACAGATAGATTGGATGAGAGAAAGGGAGATAGAGAAAATAAAAATAACCGAAGAGAAAGAAAGAGCGAAAAAAGAGCGGGAGAGCGCAGAAATTGGCGTTCGCGCGCATTGCGCCACGACCTTTAATGGGCGCTGATGGGCGCAGCCTCCCTGGAACCTGGAATCCGATTGCTTCCCTCCCCAATCCCAGTCGCGGAGAGTCAGTCGTTCTCGCTTGAGACGCAATTCCCTTTCTCTCTCTCTTTCTCCCTTTTCCTCTTTCTGTTCAAGTATTACTGTCATTAAAAATCGTTCACGTCGCAAAGGAGGGGAAGGGGCCACGACCCCGGAACACTGCCATTGATCTGCAATCCGTCCGCTTCGCGAGAAAGAGAAAAGGAGTAAAAAAAAGAGATAAAAAAAAGGGAGAGAAAACAATTTGTGCGGCGCGCGTTATAGGGGGTTGCCCTCGTCCGATAATACGTTGCGGGGTCCACCAGCGTGACGAAAGCCATTGACCTCGAGCTCGTTAATCAACCCTTCTCCCCATCATCTATGACACTTCACGATCGTCGCGCGGAACCCTTGACACAACGCGCGTATCTCGGTGTTCTTTGGTGAGAGAGAGTGCTAGAGGGTGGGTTCTAGCCGCTGCGCGTCCTTTTCGCCGACGTCAAGAAAGTATCGAGAAGCAAATGATGTCTCGTGCGCGCAATCCGAAAAGAAGCGTGTTATCATCGCGTATACGTTTTTGAAGGAAACATCGCGAAGGAGAAGCTCTCCCTTTGCCCTGACCAGTCGTCGCTGACTCGCGCGTGTTTCTCTCCACGGATTCGTGATCACGGACTCGGAAGTGAAATGATTATGTATACAGTCGCCGAGGATCACATGGGCGACAATGAGATCGCGCAGGTATCATGTTTCTTCGAGAGAGAGAGTCTCTCCTCGTCTTTCCCCCATGATATCTTAGATGCATGATAGCGTTTAAGCAGTTATTGATGAAGTCGTTTTGTTACATACTGCTCGTTTTCTTGCAGGTGATCGCATTTATATGCGGGATCATAGTGGTGCTGCTGATGATAATGGGTTTGGCATCGACCGACTGGTTGATGGCCTTAGGATGGAGACAGGGCTTGTTCGCCCACTGCATCGAGGAAGGTGCCCCAACACCACTCCCCTTCAACATGCCTGATCCCCCGGGATGCTACGCAGCCAGGGACAGCGGTATCATTCTTTTCCTTGCTAAACATCAAACGAATGTCTAGCTTAATTTATTAATAATTAATTGTGTAATCTGAGGTTTTACCTTACAGCTTACATAAAGGCAGCTGCGGCTTTGTGCGTGGTGTGTCTTCTGACGGACATCGCCGCGACGATTCTCACTGGTTTGGGTTTGCGCACACAGGATCATAGGGACAAACATAAATATTATAGATTTGCAGTGTTCTGCATGGGCATTGCACGTGAGTGTTACATGAGCGCTTTGTCTCTTATTTTTTGTTTGATATTTTTTATAACTATTCATATCTGTGTATGTGTTTCAGTGGTGTCCCTTCTAATAGCACTGATCATATATCCCATATGCTTTGCAGCAGAATTGAATCTCGGTAAGCTTTTGCTTCATTTTTCATTTGATTTGATTAAATTTAAAAAAAAGGAAAGATGAAAGGATACACTGTTCCTTGTACTGTCTATTATCGAATTTATAAAGTATATTTAGTATTAAATAATGTTTCAAAATGCTAATATGATTTTGTTATTGTGATTTATGATGTCTCAAGATGTACTTTAAGATTATGTTTATAAATACTAGCCATGGATGTAAGCAGAGAAAAACATATAATTTAAGTCGTGAAAAATTATGTAAATGCGGAAATCATATCTATACAAGTTTTTTACGACTTACATTATATGTTTTTGTCTGCCTTATCCTATGTCCATTTTTTTTAAATATGATCTTCGTTTATTTGTATCGAACGTCTTTGAATCAATTTTTACTTAATTTATTTCTTTTTTTTTTAGGAAACCGAACCAATTGGGAATTCGGTTGGGCATATGGCGTCGGTTGGGGGGCGGTAATTTTCCTAGTTGGAGGAGCAGTATTGCTATTGTGTGAGAAGGAAAGTGAAGAGATTTACTATAAGGAAAAAAAAACCGTTCGTGATGATATAGGAAGTGGCGGTTCCATGATTGGCATGGGACATCACACTGGACGAAGTGGAACACAGCTAGCCTAGTGGCATTGCTCCCTGCCCGATGTTGTTCTCTAGGTGATTCGTTTTATCTTTTTCTGCTCTCATAGTTCGACACATGCGCATACGAGAAAGTATACAAGCCTATGAATGGATTTTTGATAGAGCGTTTTTGGCTAAACGCAAAAAAATTACCCTACGGATTCTTCGACCAATCTAACACACACAAAGTATTAGCAGTTTGAATACACAAAGTATTAGCAGTTTAAATTGAATAATCTTTTATACAAATAACATATAAATAAGATAAGAAAAACTTTAATTCTTTATAAAGCTTCAATATAATTGAAGTTTTATTATTAAGATATTTAATGGGAAGTGAAATGTAATGGGAAGTGAAATGTAATTTCATAATTTTTATATAGAATTTTTGGTTTGTATATACAAATCAGCAGTTGGAAAAAATTAGGAAGCAGTTTGTATTAGGTAACGTTTTATATTTGTTTAAAAGCTAATCCGCTTTTTGAAGAGAATGAATAATTTACGATATTTACAATAACTTAAGCGTGTCCATTGATATAAAGACCAATTTTTTTTAAGAAATAATCAACTCGAAGAATTGATCGAAGAATTCGTCAGTCGGTTTTCATTGTCGTTGTTCGGAAATATCTGAAGTAGATGTGATATGTTCATTAGATGGGTGTGTATTCGAGTTACTATTAGTTTGATTAGGATAACATCTTGTTAAAGAAGTACGCATTTCGATCTTCTTGTTTCTTATTTAAAGGTCAATTTTTATACTGACAATTTTTTGTTTCTTATTTAAAGGTCAATCTTTATACTGACAATTTCGGGACCATTATTAGCTTGATTCGGATTTTTTGTATTTCCTACATTTCGCATGATCTTGGACAATTTTATATACACACTTGTATAATATTTTTACTGTAATTTAAATTATAACACAATTTATAATTGTGGCGATACATTATCCATAAATTAAATTCATAAGAATATATATCATACTCATCACCGAGTTTGAGAGATAACAATTCTAACATGAATTTTATGTTCTTTATTTGCGTAAATAACACACATACACAATTTATATTCGATTTGTTTTTAAAGAAAGTTTGAGTAGACTCCATCTTTCTTTATAATTATTTTATATTTATTAGATAAAATGACTAGAAGGAACCAAATAGAGAAATTATCAAAGTTTATTTTATATATTAAATGAATAATATAATATTTCTCTTAGTTTTATCTCCAATATATTTGCAATTGAAAATTCTAAATTCTAATTCTATTCTCTTTAGCGCAGATATAAAAGCTTTAATTTTTCTTTAATTTCAAACAAATTTATTTTTAATTGCACTTTAAAGCTTTAACATTATATATAAAGACATTGCCTAATAGGATAGTGCCCGATTAAATTTTTGATTCGTAAAATATCAGCTTTACATTGGAACTTTTCCCGATATTCCGGACACTATCTAATACACGCAACACGATGTCGAATTTATTTTAGAATAATGATGATTTTCTTCGTTATTCTTCTTATAATTCATTTTCTTTTGACAAACATATTATACGTTAATTTCATTAACCTGATTTTCATCTATACAGGTTGTCCTAGGGAAAATATCACTCTATAGAGTATTATTGTTATTCAAGAGATTTTAAATAAAATAATATTTTGAAACTGTTAGTAGATTATTAAAAATAGAAAGAGATTATTAACTTAGCCAAATTTGTTGAAAACGAATTTTGCAAAATGTTTGCTATTTTCACATTTTTTCAACAAATATTCAGAAATATAATAAAATTTGCTATCAGAATATGATTAACTGAGCAGAATCTATCATTTTTTAATTATTTCTTCTGGTAAATTATGTATTGGCAAATTTTGCTGATAAAATATGGACGTCAATTTTTTTTGGAATTCGTAATATTTTTTTGGAATTAATTGACAAATTGTTAGCAACCAACATTTTACTTAAAATTATCAAGAAAATGATGATTTTTATAAAAAAGGATAAATTATGAATATATAACATGTGTGTGTAATGTTATGTAATAGAAAATTAGTTTTGTAATTATTTTACTGCACATCTCTTTCATTAACTTTAAGGCTTGTAAACATATATTCTATTTTTTCTAGTACATTATGCTAACAAACATAAATCTGTTTGAAAGCACTCAAGTAATACCGTCCAACATATTTCTACTGGGATAGCCTGTGCATTTGTAACTCAAAACTTTTAAATGTCTAAATAATTAAAGAAGAAATATTTACAAATTATTAGTTTATTATCAATATTTTTCCCTTTTCTTAAGCAATACAGGGACTGGAAAAAAATGATACATATGTAAATTATGTAAAATTATGTAAATCATAATAATCTCTTCAGGATATTAATCCAAACTTCTCTCTCTCGAGAAAGTTTAAAAAGCTTTCTTTTTTTATTTTGCAGCATTCTTTCGTGAAAACAATTACAATTCCATGGAGACCTATTATATAATTATAATTGTTTTCAAGCAATTTTATGAGATTCCAAAATAATATATATGCTTACGTATTTTTTTCCAGTCGTCTTTTTAATTGTATATTATTAACATTTCTTGTCTTTTTATTATAGAAAAATCTTCAGAGAATAAACTTTCTATAAATGTATATATTATATAAGAGATGCTAATAGTTTATATTAATTTTTATGCACACACACACACACACACACACATCATCTTTATCATTTTCTTCTTTCTCTTCCTTCTTTCTCTTTTTCTTTCACTTTATAATATAATCTACGCGTATATTACTAATATATACATATATATATTTATACTGAAATCTGCCTTTTATTATGCATGTCATAAATTTTCGATATGCGTAGCGTGAGGGCACACACCATGAGGAAGGAATAATTTATTTAATATTTATCGATTTGATACGAACTTAAGCTATATGTAAAGCGCTTTATAATTTTAGCTTTACACTTTATCGTTGTAAATTTTGGCGGTAAATTTTTTTCTCATTTATGATAAAGGGCTTTATTGCGGATTGACAGCTCTTTAAGTATTAATCGTTTAAAACGATAGCGCATGGCGTACAAGTCTTGTTTAAGTCTTACGAACCATTTGTGAGTGTTTCATTAATTAATCATCAAAAACAAAGAGAAATGAGTGTGCGTTAACGTGATAGAGAACGGCTCGATTAAGGCTTATCATTATTACGTGTACCGATCGTTATTCTTATCTGTTTTATATTGTCAATTGCGAACAAAAGACCGTAGTAGCGTATGTATGCATCGGAAGAAGAATATGGACTTCTGTGCAGCATGCATACAAACGAGTCTCTTTCGAACGCTTGAAGAAATTTTTACATTGCAATTCGAGGCATAGCTATATCCATCGTTCGTAGCATATATCTTTGAACTTATTACCTCATCCTTTAAGTTAATTATAAAGCACACGTTTTTTAAGTGCAGGATGGAACGGAGGCAGCTCGGGCAGATGTTATTTATTGCGTTATTTGCATTAGATACGTGTACGTATATATGTGTGTATGTGTATATATATATATATAATATATAGATATAATATTTTATAAGTACGTGTAGTTTATAGCGTTATCGCAGATGTAGCAATTTGATGCGTAAACAGTTTGCAGTATTTGACGAATACGGTCTACGTTGATGCATTTGAATTCCTCATCACAATACGATTTCTATATGCTTTCGAAAGCAAATAGGTTCGTTGAAGTATTTTCGATCGATGCGATTAAAAAAAAAAAAGAAAAAATCGGAAGAAAAAAGAGAGATTCAAGAGACTATTAATAATTGAGTACAATGTTGTTACATTATATTCTGCTTATACAGTAGATTTTCTATTCTTTAACTGCTTAAACGACTTTATCGCGTATATTGTAGTACTTTATATATATAAGAAACAATATTGCGATACAAAGAATTAGTAAGGAATTACAGAATACATGTAACGAGTTCGTGATTTCTATACATCATATATATAAAACATGCACATAGCATATAAGACAATCCCTTATATCACTCCTGCATCTATGCTGCCTGTATATGTGTAATTCTGTCGTCTATTTGCAAGAAGAAAAAGGGAAAAAGAAAACATACTTAGATTAACGAGACGAAAAATCTGTTGTCTACAGTGAAACATATCGGAATAATCTTTTTTAATAAAATTAAATAAACGATATAGATTAAGTATTTAAGATTTTCGAAATAGATTTCTCTACTAACTCTAATTAACGGCAGTATGTAAGTTTACATACTTAAATATAAGTTTATATATAATATATGTAAGTTTAAATTATCCCTCTCTGACCGCGTTAGCGTTTGCAAATTGTCGACAGAATCGCTATATAGTCACTACATTTGCCATTTTTTATTCTTGGCGGGCAACTTTCAGTCGAATAGAATTGTATAACAATTCGTATAACAAAATAAGAAAGGACGTATCATCGCTGACTTAATTACACGATTGTTTAGGCATTTCGACAGTAACACAGCAGTTGTATAGTATTTTAAAGCATATACATATCGCATTACGTATATTATATGCCGTAATAAGTATACCATTACATATAAGTGCATATGGATCCTATAATATAAATTGATATATTATTTGTGCGCCATATTCCAATGTTAACGTATTGTATTGTACAAAGGACAAAATGTAACGTTAAAGCTATATACTGTGTATTTATGTATATGTGTTTAAAGTCCTTAGGCTTCTAAATTCATGTCGAATTTTATGATAAAATTCTACTTATAATTTTGTATGCTATGTATTTTGATATATATTTTAATTTTTTAAATGTTTTTCTTTTAATTAATTGAAATAATTAATAAAATTTAAAATTAAATTTAAAATAATTTGTATAGGTTATATTCAATTTTAATTATATATCTTTTAAATATTTTTCGCGTTATATGATACAGAAAATTACAAGTTGTCTAAAATTAACTTAAGCAAGATGAGTTTCATCTTATTTCTCTTCAAATCTTTCCATTTTCTTATAGTTTTAAAATTTATTATTTTACATAATATTTTCTTTACGTTTTTCTTACATTTTTCCTTTACATATTTTTATTTGCTACTCAATTATTTTGAGTAATCAACTGATTCACATGAAAAAACTGATTCCAATAAAACTTTTTTTAGACATTTTAAAATATCAAGTTTTTCTTATATATTTAAAGAATAAAGAAAGCGCAAGCTGTGTATTGCTTTTA